TTCTCAAACGGGCATCGGCAGCGGATGGACATACCAACTGTTACTCCGACGCTGAGGACTGAGCTATTAACCGGCCCGCTCGGTTTGTTCTTTGTGTACAGTTTTGCCACTACAGCGCTAATTACTAAGCAGCTGAATTGCTGGGAAGTGCGCAGCAGTCATTCCCACCTCGCTGTTCCTCTGCTAGGAAAAAAGCCGCGAGCACGGCCCGGGGAGGGCCCTCGGTCTGGGAAGCCGGGAGCAGGCCTGCCAGGGACGCAGTAATAGTCTGACTTTTATGAGTCGCCCTGGGCTCCCAGGTCTGTGCTTCCAGACATTTATCCTAGCTAGAGCGGGGGAAGGCTTGAAGCAGACACTTTTAAAAGGAATAGCAGGCTGCAAAGAGAGGCAGAGGGAACTCAGAGCGCTCCTTGCTTTTACTCTTCGCCCGCCTGGCGGCAGGGAAACACGCTCCTGGCTCTGGGCTTCCCAGGTGAGATGGGAACTAGGTTGGGCACGTTGGTGGCGGCCTCAGACCTGTTTCAGTGGGCGGCCACTGGACCAACCGTGGCTTGTCCTGTTTGGGTGTAAGAACAACTTAAACGAATTTATTTTCGCCCTTGGCTGGGCAGAAACATCTGCTTCAGGTAGTCTCCAAGTGTTACTTATTAGCCCCCGCGCGGCGAGGGTTCTGCCGCCCGGCTCTGCACCCATGTTTGGATTAAAATCACACCTCTGCTATTTGGATTCCTGGTAGCCAGGAACTTTGAAGAGAAATCTGTCTTTTAAAAAGGAATGTGAAAAAAAAATCAAATTATCTTTCTTAGCACGAGAGTCTGGGGGGCAGTTTTAAGAAACCCCCCTCCTGGGCAGAAAGGGAGGCTGGCAAGGCACCTCCTCGGCACACGGTTCCGCGATAACCCTTTCTCCGCCATCTTCAGCTCTCATGCCTTGGCTTTCTTGCCTGTGGCTACATTTCTGTCTCTGCATCAATTAGCACAGTGATTTATACTACAAGCAAGCAGTTTAGAGGTAATGGTACACAATTAACATCTCATTCCACCATAAAGGGTTTGCTAAACACCCCAGCCCAGCTTTCCCTGCCTGGAATTGAAATAAGTGTTTGTCCTAATTCATATGCTATCTGATGTGAAGTGGGATGCTTTGTAACACACTACACCATTAATCTAATTATAGATAGCTGCGAATGAAGTGCAGTCGGAGCCGGAGATGGAAGAAAATAGCCTTTTGTCATTTAGCCTGACTCTGAAGCTGGATCACACTTTGCAGGGCAGTGCGGCGAAATGGAAATCTCCGTGATGTTGCTGCCTGTTGCATCTTTTCTAATTACGCCAGCACTGTAAACACGGCCGGCGCCGATATAAATAGAGCTGTAGAGGGCTGTCGTGTGGGCTGTGGGAGAAAGCCCTCCGAGTGCCGCTGGATTAAATGATGCATCCTGACTGACAGCTACCCCAGCCTGGGCCGATGGAGCTGTCACGGCGTCAGGCTAACCGGCATCCGCCGCTGTGGCCTGGCCGGGCGGCTCTGCGGCCTCGGGGGGGCCCTTCTCGGCCCCGGGTGGCACCCCAAGGGGAGGACGCCCTGGCAGGGGCTCTTCGGGCCGATTTTGGTTGGTTTCATTGAGCCGGGTGCTGACCCGGGCTGGAGTGCGCGCTGTGTGGCTCTGAACCCCTGCGAGGTCGGCCCCAAGTGGTAACCGCCTACCCTATAAAGAATTTGGGGAACTATACAGAATTTGGGGAAAGAAAACAAGGCTGACCGTGGTTCTGTATTTAGTTTTTACCCCTAGTGCTTGGACAGGCCCGTGTTTTTAAGAGATGCGTCCTTCACACGGCCGGTCCTTTCTGTTGTTCTGAAGCACGTGCCAGAGAGAGGAGTTTCGGGGCTCTCCTGGAGCACCCCGGAAACGAAGGCGGCCGTGGCGCCGGGAGCCGAGAGGCCGTGTCCTGCGCGAGCACAGCGGCCAGAGAGGGGTCTCCTGCGGCCCTCGCGTGGTGGGAGCCCAGCCCGGGGGCCCGAGCCTGGCAGGAGGAGCCCGGCTGCGTTGCCAGCCAGGTCCTTCGGCCAGCGCCAGCCCCAGGCCCGGCCTCCCGGCCCTGGCGGTGCGGGTGCTGGAGACCACCCCCTGCCCTTCTCATGTCCACCTCGCCGTGTCCTCCTGGTCCTTCCGTCTCTGCTGGGACTCCTTTTTCTTTGTTTTGAACTTGTGGGGACAACTTTTCTTGTTAGCTATGGTCTGACGCCGCAGACACCGGCAGTTTTAATTTGCTTCGAGCTGAGGGTGCATTTCTGCCCCGGTGAGATAACACCCCCATCATTGCGCAGGCGCCAGGAGCCCGGCCCAGGAGCACCTGCGCTCTGCTTTGAGTCGCGCAGGTGGGTGTTTGTCAAGGCCTCGCTAATTTTTCTGTGGTTTGGGGAAGCCCCGCCTTAAAGCTACCGAGTGATGTCCATCTCCCATGCACCCAACGTTGCCCAGCTCAGGCTTCTCATCATGCAAACAGAAGGCCTGGGAGGGGGAGACCATTCTGGCTTCTGGGATAGGGCTCCTGTCGGCCCCAGAACATCACCATTCTGGTTTAGCTGCTTGGAAAGAAAACGAGCAGTAACTTAAAATCAATACTCTGGCGGGCAGTTTTGCAGAACTAGGAATACTGAATTACATGTCTCGCACCCAGCCAAGCTCTGTTCCCCCTACGGGTTTCCTGGGGTCTCTCCGCCGGTCGGCTTCTCTGCCATGTCCCCCAAACCTTTGGAGAAGCCAGTCAGCAGCGGCTGTGATGGAAGCCTGGAAAGCCCGCGTGTGGGTGCTTCAGCGCCTTCTTCCCCCGAGCATCCCACAGCCGTTCCCGTCCTCCCCAGGCAGTTCCCTCGGAGGGAGGGTCGGCTGGCCCGGCCCGGGCCCGGCTGGCAGGCACCCCCGGGCCCGCGCAGGCAGCCCAGAGCTTGTTTTAAGAAGGCGTGTTTGTGTGGGCACGGGGAAGGGTCAGGCCAACATCAAAGGTAATCTTAAAAAGAGAACCTTCTCTTTGCCTCCTCTTTATATTCAGAAAGGTCATTTCTAAGCCAAGTATTTGCAAGGAGGCCTCTCTGGAGGCATTTCCCCGTTGTTATTTTTTACTTGCGATTACAATAAGTCACTTATCCCCCAAACAGATTTAAGAACAATAAACAAATACAAAAGGAAAAGGAACATCTCATCACTAACAAAGACCGCCTCTAAAGGCATCGGGTTTTGTGCCTCTTTTACATCTCTTTCCAAGCAAAGCAGGAATCCTACGGAGAAAGGAATCCAAAAGATAGGAAAATTACAAAAATAATAAAAGGATCCAGTTTTAGGCAAGACCTTGTAGTTTCTGGGGAGAAACGGAGCTGGCTGCAGCTCGCCCTTTATTCCTATTAAGGCTTGTTTTTGATACAGCAAAAAAAAAAAAAAATTGGCTTTTGAGGGTCTATCCGCTGTGGGGAAATGTGATCAATTCTATCACCCTCTGTTTGTATGAAGATCCTCTCCCCGATGCCGCGTTTGCATCTGGAAGTCGAATCCTGCAAAGCACCTGGGGAAGCAGCGAGTCTGTCTCCCACCCTGGTCACGGGCGAGAGGCCCCTGCGGGGAGGCCGGCCGAAGCCACTTTTCTGTGGCCACTCGGGCGCCTAGTCACGCTGGCACCCCTTTTCCAAGGCGGGCAGCTCACAGAGAGCGAAACTGTGCCATGTGGCAGGATTCCGCCCGCCGGCGTAAGGCAGGCCGTGAAGGCGCGATTCCTCCCGGATGAACCTTGCGCCCCTCTGCCTGTGATGACGGCGCAATGCCTGCTCGCGGCCACTTGTGACTCAGATGAATGTTAATAGGAGCAAAAAGCTTTTATTGGCACTGCAGTTTCGCTTGAGGATCGTATTGTTCAGACAGTGGCAGACGCTTGTATGTCTTGATTGCAAACACACACTCAGGAGTAAAGATGCAAAAACGTTATTCAGCCTGCCACAGGTCGCAGATCTGCTGGGCACCCAGGCCACCAGGCTCTTCGTCGCCCTCCCCCCGGCAAAGAGGCCCTGGCAGGAGCCCCCCACTCCTACCCCCAGCACCGTGGTGATGCCCACAGGCGGCTTCCTTACACCAGGGCGAAGGCCATTCCCCAGGGGCGCCATGGGCACTTCCCCCACCCGGGGACACTCCCTGGACCACTTCCCTTTGTTTCTGTGGGGACAGGTGGGGACAGCCCACTGGGGCCAGCCCGTGTCCCCAGAGGTGAAGGCCCTTCCAGGGAGCAGTCCGCCCGCCCTGGGACAAATGTCCCGGGGCCCAGCTGCCATAGTGCGCCCTTGTGTGGAGCCACTTACAAAAGGTGCTTCGATACTTGGCTTTCCCTCTGGGCTTTTAAAGTCCTGGCGTCACCTGCCCAGGGCATCTCTGCCCCCCTCACCATCTCCTTGTGGTGGAAAGCCGCCGCCATGCTGTGCCTGGAAGGGTAACTTTTCCGATCGTGAATGTAGCATTTTCTGTCACTGGGAAAACTCTGAATTCTAAACACTAGGTTTCCCCAAAAGGCACACTGAAGCCCTTTGTGTTGACTCACCGAGACAGCCAGCAGCCCCTCTGGGCCCGGCGCTGAGACAGCGGTCTGCTGCCACCTGCTGGCGGCCGGCGGCACCGCGCCCCGCGGCCTGGGCCCTTGGCATTTGCTTCCATCCGGGTCGATTTGTGAGCGCTGAAAACTCTGTTTATTTGATAACGTCTTGCGGTGTTTCCTTAACCATACAGGATGGTTACCGTTGTCTCTCATTAACGACTGGAGCAGTTCTTCTTTCAAGAGAGGTTCTAAATCACGTGGCTCACCCCCGATGCTGAAACGAGTGTATTTTGTTTTTATGACCGTTTGATTTCGTAGTGTCATAATTTCCATCTGGAGGCTAAGGGATGACTTAGATTGAGTTTTCCTTTTGAGGAAAGTTCAGCCTTTAAACTCATCTGTGTTTTGTTTTTTTTCCTCCTCAAGTACAAAGTGCGCATCTTAACCAAACTGGCCGCGGAACTGAACAAATTCATGCTGGAGAAGGTGGCCGAGGACACGACCAGCATTCTGCGCTCGCCGATGCCCGGCGTGGTGGTGACCGTGTCTGTGAAGCCCGGGGACATGGTAAGGACACGCGCGGCGGGGGCGGGCCGCCTGGTTCCTCGGGGGGCAGCCGCCCCCGGAAACCAGCCAACGCTGGGGACCTCCTTCCTGCAACTGCCTGACACCAGAAGGCAGCTAGCCACGGCCCTCACCTCCCCTCCATGGTCGGCGCTGGGGCTGAGTCAGGCCGGGCTCTGTTCCCTGGCATTTTGCATTCGTGTTTGATTTTGAATTTCTGTGTCCTTTTTAGCTTTCTGTGTTTTAAGCAGCCGTGGGGAACTCAGCCCATAAAATAACCCTCTCACAGGGAACTTTGCGTGTGATTTCTAGAATAAGTGGGAAGGCGAGTGCAGGGGGGGGGGGTCACCCCATAATCTGGGCAGCGGGGCACTTCGGAAACTTGACAGAGCAAACCTCAGAAGACAGTGTGATGTTTTGCATCTTAATCTTATGATGGTAAGGCACAAATCAAAGCTATATTTGTATTTCTTCCTGTGTTTAGTTTCGAGGTAACAGGCCAAGGACGAATTGGTAGGAAGCGGGCATGTCCTTAGGCCAGGAATGGAAATCTGTGTGGAGTAGCAGCAGAAGTTAAAAGAAATCCAGTTGAGCTGCAAACAGGAGTCCCCAGGGACACTTAATACTCGCATTTTTATTTATGTGCCGGAAAATAACGGTCAAGCATGGTAGTTCTTAATAGATGCTACAGTGATTCCACTTGATATTTCATTTAAGTCACGGGAGTTTATATATTTCCCAGTAAAGATCATATTAAAACGGCCTCGGTATTTCCTTTGTCACGTAAATCAACAGGGAGTAAAGCTGGTGTCGCTGGCATCAGCTTCTAGCAAAGTATTTGCTTTTATAAGTATTAAGAAAAATAATCAGTCTCAGTTGCCTAAATGATCCGCCACAAGATTGACGTGCGCAGGTGGAACACGGACCTAGCCGCCGCCGTACCTGGTGATACAGAAAGGGGAGGCCGGCGTCTCTGGAACAGCCCGCAGACGCCGTGACCTGCATTCCTGGGGTGAAGCTGTCCCACGGTGGTCTGGGCCCGGCTCTGGGAGTGTGTGCCGGGCCCGGAGAAGGGCCGCCCGCCTCATCTCCCGGGGCTCCGTGGCCGGGACGTGCAGGGGCCCACGCTCGCTCCCACCGTATCAGTGGGCTGACTGTAGCATCCTCGGGGACCCGGAGGCCCAGGCGGGCCGGTCACCACGCGGAGGGGGTTATTTTGTGTTGTTGCTGCCATTTTCCTTCTTGAGCCTTCTCTGGAAGCCAGGGAGGCTGTATTCTGCCATCCTGAGCTTGTCGGTCCTAAATGCGGCTTTAGTTATAAAAATCACGTTTGGCCTTTTGAAACAGAAGTGTTTAACCGAAATCCCTACTTTTCTAACACCTGAGTCCAAACCAGTGAGGAGGGGAGCGGGGAGGCACCTCCTGCCCGAGTGGGAGTGGGTCAGCCTGCGGCCTCCCCGCCGGCCCACCGCAGGCCCGTGGCCCACGCTGCCCAGGGCCGCTGCTGGAGTTTGTCGGCAGCCAAGGGGCTTCTCCCCCCGTCGCCTGCCCGTCATGGCGTGTGGCAGGAGGCCCGAGTGGGAGGGACAGTGTTGCTAGTGCTGACGCCCGGCCTGGCCAGCCCGTCTTTAAATGTGGCGTCAGGAATGGCTGGACGGGACAGGTCGCTGGGACCCCAACGTCAGAGCCTGGGAGCGGGGACTCCGCGGGAACTGGCTCGGGGTCTCTGCCGCCCAGCCCCCCACGGATGCTCTTGCCGTGAGTGCCCGGCTGTCAGCTCCTGCCTGCCCTCGTAGCTTCTGCTGCCACATTCGGGCCTTGCCGGCGTCCTTCATGTCCCGCGACGCTGGGTTTGGGGAAACTCTTCTCCGGTTTGACTATTCATGGATAAGGCCATAGACTGCTCATACCCAAACCGCACGCCCCGCCTCTGCGGTTAAATCTGCCGCGTGTCATTAACACTGAAGGAACTTCCCGGCCCACGGGCAGCCACTTCCGAGGCCATCTCGGGAGCACCGCGCTGTACCGGCTGGGTCTTGCGCTCCTGAATTGCGTGACCACCGCAGGGCGAGCTGTGCCTCCTCGGCATAGCAGCAGCCGGGCCAGGCTCCTGCTCTCCTGGAAGGTGCTGGCGCAGCCGCTCCGACCCAGGGAAAGCAGGGGCCTGGCGCCTCTCGGGCCTCTCGGGGCTCTGCTGTTGTCTGCGGTTTGCCTGTTACACTCGAACTCCAGTCTTGGATTTTTGCCTCTGGTAAATACAATTGGACAAACCTGAGGAGCGTGGGCTGGCGGTGACCTGCCCCGCGAGTGTCAGCGCAGTCAGAGCTTTGCCGAGGGAGCATTTTAGCGGAGCCTGCGAAACTCGGAGACGAGGGGCAGGGCCGGCCGTCGGAGGTGGTCATCCGGGACAGCGCGGGCCGGTGCGCCTCGTGTTCAGCGCCTCCCTGCCCTAAGCACAAAGGCTGGCCTGGACCCCACGCCCTCTTTTTAGGGTTCGCACAGCCCAGGGTCCGGACACGCCTCAGGTCAGTCACACGCTGTTTGACACGAAAGGTGGCAGCCGGACTGTTTTCTGATGATTCTAGAACAGTCTTTGGCACCTGTGTGTACCTGGGGGCGGGGAGGTGCGAGTTCACAAACAGAAAAATGCTTACAAGGAAACAGACCTTTGAGAAACAAAGTGGGCGATGACTGCGGAAGTTTGGAGTCACATTTAATTCAGAAAAACACGGAGGACTTTCTGTGCCTTTTTAAAATTCTCTCCTGTAAATGTTGTTCCAATGACTGGTTTTCATTTCCTTCTGAAAAACACCTATTTATCTGTACATTTCACACTACCCTAACACTATTACCCTCAAAGCTAGCGTTTTTATCACTCATTTGAATATTTCCAGCTTCGGTCTGAAGAATATTCTGGAACAAGAATGTGAAATGTCTGGCGCCGCCCCCCAGCCCCCGCCCAGCGCCAGGCTCATAGCTTGAATGGGCGGGCAGGTTCGTTTTGTCTTTAGAGTGGGAAACACAGTCACCAGGAGCCACCAGTTGCAACAGCCTCTTGCTATCAGAAACAAAATAATAAAAATGAGGCAACCCAGGGGAGCTGGGCTCCTCGTCCTGGTCTCTCGCGGAGTCTGCAGGGGCTCGTGGTGCTCAGTGACCCAAGTCAAGAAAGAACCAGAAGGGAGTGGGCCGAGCACCCCCCAAGTTCACCCCGCCGCTCGTGGGACAGATGTGGGGGGAGGCCGGGAGAGCAGGGGCCTGGGGTCTGGGGTCCTGTTCAGGAGGCGATGGGGCCGGGAGTGGGGTGCTGTCGCGCGCCCCAGTGAGGACCTAGAGTGATCTGTACCCCTAACCACCACGAGGGGCCCTACCACACCTCACCCTGATTGCCTCTCCTCCTTGCCTGCACGCCCTTGGGGCCCAGGGGTGGGGGAGATGGCCGCTGAAGAGGGCACGCAGCTGGGCGCACCGCCCC